ACATCCTCACCATCACTAGCCGAGAGATTGAACGGGTCCCAATAGAGCAGCTGATATCTGAACAATGTACTCGGCATTAGAGGAGTTACTCCTATCACCACTACCTCACAGGGATGGCCACTGCCTCCTCAAGACTGGCACCGAGGAAGGCTTGTTTATACAGCTTGGGACATGCTGTACGAACCTAGATTCCTCACAGGTCATGCTAAGCCTCGTCGTATACGGTGATGGACCCACCTTCTGAAACTCCTGGCAGATCGATCGTACCGAACTGAAGTCATCAGAAACATCACCCATAATCTGTAGGTGAGCCGCCTGCCGAGAAGAATAGCTCATTACCCCCGAAGAGAAGAAGGACGCGTCTACCTTCAGGAACTTCTTCTTATCCTTGGCAAGAGCCTGCCATGTTTGGTCATCATTCTCCTCGATATCGGAGTACTCCCCATCACTAGTAATATACCCATCTTCCGACCTCCTACTCCCGAGCCACTTCAACCTTACATTCACCACATCAGAGCATCCCTCCACTTACCACCCGCTGGCCTACCTCGCCTCTGCTAGTCGAGCCTCTTCGGAATCATCTTCAGACGCCTGTGCGTAACTACTAAGCCATCGAGATGACAATGAGCCCATTAGAAACTGCCTTACTCTGTCATCAGAGCCTTCAGTTGCCTCTCCTCATGCGTGCGGCATACCTGTAATGGTGGACGTATGGCCTCCGTTGAAGTGCCGCAGTGCTGAACTCACATTCTTTTCGATGTTGTCTAAGAGGTTAAGAGCGTTGTCAGTTTGATCATATTTGGCATCATGGAAGCTACCAAGATCCTCCACATAGGAACGGAAATCCTGAGACCGGCAGGCGATCGAGCAACAACCACCGCGAAGTACGACATACCGTAATAACGTCAAGTTTCTCATTCTCCTCTAGACTGTCACTCTCGATGCGGTCCAAGCACCGCTGGCTCTCAGCTCGGTCCGTCTCCAATTTTCTATGTCGGCCTTGGAAGTCTATCAAGTGGACCTAACGTGGGCATATCACACGACCGAAGAGGCCATGATGCAGCAGCGAGAGGTTGTATCACCTTTTCGGAGTGGATCTTGCGGTAGACTGCATCGAGTGCCTCCTCCAACGAAGGTATGGGATCAGCAGCAAACAGATCTGAGCGGACGCACATGAATATGTTCGCAGCCGATACACCGATCGAACCAGCGCCCTCGTGATGCTGTTGTGACAAGAGTAATATTAACTGGATTCAAATGCACACGTAGCTCACCCTCTGCCATTTTCTCTCCTGACGTCTTCTCAACCATCAAAGCAGCATCAGCTCTCTTCTGTTGGAACTCCTTCAACTTCTGTAGTCCCGCTACCTACAACAGCAGATGAAGCCGTGCACCACTACTAACAGTAACTACCTTCTTGATTTGGGCATCAGCCCACGTATCATCATCCTCATCACCAAACTCCATTAACTAAAATCGCCATACCATTCCTTTCCATCCTCGGCATCTACTACCTGTTCCCGTTTCCTCTCCACTTCTAACCGATGCAGCATTCCTCGAGTGCTATGCCCTCCTAGACCCCCATCAGTGTCAGTCATCGGAGCATCGTGTGCACTAGGATCCAAATCTATAGTGGCGAACTCTCCTTTTTTCACTTGCGCCGGTGCCATAGCATTTTCTGATGACCTACAACATAGCCATTGCTCAGAAGCGCACTAGCAAGAGATACTACCTAACCTTCTCCCGCTGCCTCTGCCTCTTCCGCCGGGCAAGGTCTATTACTCCAGGATCTGCCACCATTGCAGGGTCTAGGTCAGTAACCTGAATCTCCTCGTAGTCCTCTCCCGCGTATATCGCAGCTCCCGGTGACCTTCGTGTCACCGTCACAGG